AAGAAGAACAAACAGCCTCACTAAATTCAATGTCAGGAATTATTTCGTATCAGGAGATTTATTGTCAAAAATATAGTGAAGAGAAATACGCGAAGAAGCCTGAGAAATATGACAAAAGAGCTGAATATTTCGGATAGATTGCTAAAAAGGATTAGGAAAGAGGATTGAGGACTAAAACTATACGAGATTCAAAGACGGCAGCTGCTCTCAAGTGCCTCCAAGTCAAAAAAAGCTTGACAGAAGGAATAAAATATTTTCATATAGTCGGAAAGCAACGGTTCTAGACTCGATTTGGTTTTGTTTCTTTAACGACATATCGTCATTCATTCTTTCTTTTTATGTGCCATGTCCTTTCAGGACGTAGGCGATCATGGCTCTCCATCTCCCTCTATCCCTTGCAGCTTTTAACAAGTTCCTTTCCTCTGCCATCTCCCCCAGACCACGTCCTGTCATCCACTTGCTTAAGGCCGCTAGGTTTATCATGTGGTGTTTTCCTTTATCTTTCTTTCCCTCTATTCGCCCCGTGAGTATCAGATTCTCCATGCCCCCTTTCTCATTATATGTCCCAGAAACTTCAACTGCCTCTTCCTGATGTTAAGTATAAGCCTCCTCCTTGTTTGCACCCTCTCTAAGATCTCATCGTTGCTCGCACGCTCGGTCCATGATATCCTTAGACTCCTTCTGTAGAACCATATCTCCGTCGCCTCGAGTCTATTCTGCATCTTTGAGGATATCGTCCAGCATTCGTTGCTGTAAAGAAGGACAGATGTCATAACAGCTCAGTATTCCTTTCTTTGTTACCAAAGAATTCCTCCTGTCTCGCAATACTCTGCTCAGCTTTTGCAATGCGTCCTTGGCCATCCCAATACGTCTACGGATCTCAGTGTCTCACTTACCGTCCTCTGTCAAAACGCTTCCCAGATGCTTGATTCTCGTGTCTCCGGCCTGCAAATTCGGGCTCATCCTGTTCTTACCACCCTTTGTCAAGGTGGACTTGGGAAGAACAACAATTAAGAGGTGGTTCAAATCTCCTCAAAACCTCTCGATCAATGACCTTGCTGCCGGATGTAGTTTATCGTCACCCCCAAGACGCAATAACTACTTGGCCACAACCATACACACGAGGCTAAGTAAAAAAACAATATGCTCTTTCGCCATCACATAACATAACATTAGATTTGTCACACTGCTTTTTTCGTGTTTATAGTTGGTAATATTCTGATCACGTTAATCAGACACTTTTTATTAAAATTTAAATAATGTAGCGGCTAGTCTATACTTAGCATCCACTGATTACGTTGTGCATGCTACCGGTCAGGAAATAGATAGGTTAGTTAATAAAACAAGTGTGTGTGTGTGTGTGTGTGTGTGTGTGTGTGTGTGTGTGTGTGTGTGTGTGTGATTAAAAAGAAGGTCGACGTGTGCTTCTTAAAATATCTAAAATAGATAGGTTAGTTAATCAAACAAGGACTAATGAAAGGGTACCAATATAATCAGTACAATGAATATTTATAAAAGATAAAAGATCAATTGTTAATTATATGACACAATATATAAACCTTGGAGCGGGTAGAATGGAAATCAACGTGTTTTAGTGGACTCAGTAGTTTTCAATCCGCTTGACTGAATCATCTTCAAGGAGGGAGAGCAAGATCTAAAAGGTCAGCCAATCTAACAGTGATCTCACCTCACAATCCTCACTCCTGCTCCATATGTGACCTCCTTTGTAAATCACTAGCGTGTCTTAAGTGTCACTTAAGATAATCGCACAAAATTTCATAACTGAATCAATTAAGCTGTCAGATCCTCATGCGTCGAAACCGACAGGGGAGTCCATTTATATATATATATATATATATATATATATATATATATATATATATATATATATATATTTATATATATATATATATATATATATATATATATATATATATATATGTAAGCAAATATATGGATATAGATCCGATAGTATGAAGAAAAATACAGCATAATTGCATGTTAAAATTTTTTGTTTGTTTTTTCTGTATTTTTCTTCATATATATATATATATATATATATATATATATATATATATATATATATATACGTGTGTATAAAGTTTTTCTTAAATTTGCTATAAAATAACTCAATAAATTAATTTACTCCCATCATATCACAACTAAAATATAAAATCAGGATTAATTATAAGCTTGTAACACAGAGCTCTCAGATTATGAACCCGGAACACCTAGATGAAGAAGAAAAATACAAAACCTTTTGACTCCTTCATTAACCGAAACATTTCATCGTCAAAGCGAGGAAACAAGCATATAAAATCCACAAGACAAAAAATGTAAGCACTATTGATAAAAAAAAACAACAAAATTTATGATTCTAACCTCTAAATCTTTATTAACAAAACTCGAAAAACATCTATCCTCGACATCAGTATCATAATTACCACCTTCAAAAGGATCAGAGATCTGGTTGACAAAAGGCACAAATCAACACTATATCGGATACTGAGATTTATAAAATTAACTGCCTGCAAACCATAAGAACTATATCAGTGAAACTTCCATAAGCCTAAACGCTTTCTTCTATGAACTTAAGAGAGACCTCTGTTTTGATAACCTATTAAACTCTTCAGAAACATTTTGATCAAAACATGCCACACTAATAAAAAAAAAAATAGATATTTTATTACCAAGAAAATATCTAGAGTGAATATTAATTAATATCTTTCCATCGAAAGACACACTGCTTAATATCACCAACAATCATAAAACCCGTACGTAAGATCCAGACACTTGCTGGCAAAATAACTTAAGTTTTTCATCATCCATTTCTATGCTCTCCACATGACCGAAAACACGCTTTTCTGAGAGACACTTTTCTCCAAGACACCAAATATCTCCTGATACACCCACTAGTCATATATAATAACAATAACAAGAGAATTAAAGACACACATATACCCCAGATTTTTCCGATACACACGACATGCCTCAACAATTTAATCCACTGAAAACTTTTCAGCCACCCACCTCACACACACAGACATATATATATATATTTTAAGACATTTTTTGTTTATACATTCTTTTTATAGATACAAATATTTAAGTAAATGCTCTGTTTATAATAAACAGTATTAAACAACATTTACCGGCCTGAATGTCCGGAAAATTTTCACAGAAAGTATTCGTCCTTCGACAGGATTCGAACCTATATCCCATACGGAACCGTCATTTAGCTTGACGTGCTAAAAAAATTGAAATTGGAAAAAATTACATAAGAATATACAATCATTAAAGTTAAGAAAAGAAAACTTTTAAAAAATTGTAGATAAAAGAAAAAGAACCATCCACACTTTTTGAAGGGCCGAATACAGAGACCTGGTGCACTACGTGCCACAAGGTCCCCAAACGACTCTCCGCAGGTTTTGAATTCAGACCAGTTGCCATCCAAGGCTATAGAACCCAGTCTGCCCTGCTATTTACCCATAGCTGGAGGGAGAAGAAGAGCATCCACGCCTTTCCCAAGAGTAAGTGAATGTAATGGATTCGACTGAAGAAAGATTGAGGCCAATCTGAAATATCAAATATATATACAAATAAATACATACTTTCATAAAAGTACATTATTATTTTTTTAATTTCCAACTTTTTCTATATATACATATTAAGAAAGTATACGTGGCTTATCGTTATATATATATATATATATATATATATATATATATATATATATATATATATATATATATATAACACATCGGTTCGAGATATATATATGGGGAATATTTAGGTAGGAATTTCTCATTGAAGTACATTTTATTATTATTATTTTTGACTATGTTTTTTACGTTCAGACCATTTTCTCAGCATCCAGGAAGTGTTTGAAATAAAGTTGTCCAATGTTTCCTAAGCGCTTTCGGCATCATTCCCCATTAAATTTTTTGTATGTTGACCAGTGAGTGTATATATATAGATATTATTCAATACTATTCAAATATCAGATCATGTCACGCAATTTATTAGTTTTATTGTTGTTTTTGTTTATTTTATTTTATTTTTCATGTACCGTACGTCAAGTGTTTTTTTGTCAATGATTTATTTTTTTTTTTAAATTTTCCTTTTGTATAGTAATTTTTCCCTAAATTGAATGAAATTTCATAGACCTTTGGCTGCTATTATAAAGGTTGCTTATATTTGTAATCGTTTTCTTTTTTGTATATCAGTTATGATTTGTTGTTGCTGTTTTTTTGGCTCTGTTCATTGGTGATTCTTTATTAATGTCTAATGAAAGTCGAAAGTGCTCAACAAAGTGGTGAGCATTTTATATTCAAACTTTGTCGGTAAACCGGGAAAATGATCTGAACAAAAGAACGAATAAATTTCTGTTGGTCTTCAACTGAACGTGCATATATATCTTATTCCCTAGCAGTTTTTAACACATGTGTGCTTAGCACCGAAAGACACGCATATTTTGCTCGGCCTCAATTCTTCGAAAAAAAAAAAATTAGGGGAGAGGGAAAAGCCTCTTTAAAAATTTGAATACGTGCAGAAGCAAATCTCAGATCTTTTAACGTCTGTAACGTTTCTTCTGTAGGTAAATTTGGTTCTCTAACACCCTTTGCCGAAGATAAGCTTTTTAAAGATTCCAGTACAGCGTTGAATTAAGTGAGATGAAAAGCTACAAAAAAAATATCCACTGATAACGTCATAGCGAAAAAAAAAAGAACCCTCGCTAGAAAATAACCGATAAAAAGGATTGATAAAATTTTTAAAAAATATATAGTACTTTTCCTTTAAGATCTTAGAGATAATGAATGATTTATTTTCAAGAACAAGCCAGGTTGTTAACACATTGCTTATAAAATTAGCGCTGTGTTGAAAGTTGGAGGAATAGCGAGAACGGGAAATAACGTGTTTTGGTTCAGCCAGACTGACGAGCGTTTGGTTGGGGGCGGGGGTGTAGCCGGTGAAGGGGTGTAGACCCCCACCTTTGTGGAATGAACGGTTCGGGGAGCTGTAAATTTCCCAGTGCTTTGTTCGCTTCTCTTCGCTTTTCTTCTTTCTATCGTTGTCAAAATTTGGTAAATTGTTTAAGTCTCTCAGAACGTCAATTTAGATGCAACATCAGCGGACTTTTTAAAAGACTTATTTTATTAGCTACTCTCTATCTATATTCTCCTTCAGATATTTTTCGTCTCTCTCTCTCTCTCTCTTTCTCTCTTCCTTTCCCTTCTTCTCTTCTCACTCACAGTCATTCTTTCTCGCCTCTTTTCATTCCCCTTCTGCATCGAGTTTTTTGGCGCGAAAACGATTTTTATCGATTTTGTTTAATACTTTGCTTCATTTATCAAATCAAATCCACAATTCTTTTCATTCTGGACTCATACCTCTTCTCATATATTTATATATGCAAGCATTTTTCTTGATGATCTTTTCTTCTTCTTCTTTAATATCCTTCTATTTTTCGCTTATTTTGCTTCCTTTTCACTTCTTTTTCTTCTTCTTTAATATCCTTCTCTTTTTCACTTCGTTTTTCTTCTTTAATATCCTTTCCTTTTCCCTTCTTTTTCTTCTTTTTCTTCTTTAATATCCTTCTCTTTTTCACTTCTTTTTCACTTCTTTTTCTTCTTCTTAAAGAAGGATATTAAAGAAGAAGAAAAAGAAGTGAAAAAGAGAAGGATATTATCCTTCTCTTTTTCATTTCTTTTTCTTCTTCTTTAATATCCTTTCCTTTTTCACTTCTTTTTCTTCTTCTTTAATATCCTGTCCTTTTTCACTTCTCTTTTTCACTTCTTTTTCTTCCTCTTTAATATCCTTTCCTTTTTCACTTCTTTTCTTCTTCTTTAATATCCTTTTCCTTTTTCACTTCTTTTTTCTTCTTCTTTAATATCCCTTCCTTTTTTCACTTCTTTTCTTTTTTAATATCCTTTCCTTTTCCCTTCTTTTTTCTTTTTCTTCTTCTTTAATATCCTTCTCTTTTTCACTTCTTTTTCTTCTTCTTTAATATCCTTTCCTTTTTCACTTCTTTTTCTTCTTCTTTAATATCCTTTCCTTTTTCACTTCTTTTTCTTCTTCTTTAATATCCTGTCCTTTTCCCTTCTTTTTCTTCTTTTTCTTCTTCTTTAATATCCTTCTCTTTTTCACTTCTTTTTCTTCTTCTTTATTATCCTTTCCTTTTTCACTTCTTTTTCTTCTTCTTTAATATCCTTCTCTTTTTCACTTCTTTTTCTTCTTCTTTAATATCCTTTCTTTTTCTCTTCTTTTTCTTCTTCATTAATATTCTGTCCTTTTCCATTCTTTTTCTTCTTTTTTCTTCTTTAATATCCTGTCCTTTTCCCTTCTTTTTTTTCTTTTTTCTTTTAATATCCTTCTCTTTTTCACTTCTTTTCTTCTTTTTTAATATCCTTCTCATTTTCACTTTTTTTCACATCTTTTTTCTTCTTTTAATATCATTTCCTTTTCCTTTTGTTTTTTCTTTTTTTTTTCTTCAATATCCTTCGCTTTTTCACTTCGTTTTTCCTTCTTTAATATCCTTCTTTTTCACTCTTTTTTCTTCTTCTTTAATATCTTCTCATTTTCACTTCTTTTTCTTCTTCTTTATCATTTCCTTTTTCTTTTGTTTTTTTTTTTCTTCAATATCCTTCCTTTTTCACTTCTTTTTCTTCTTTAATATCCTTTCTTTTTTCACTTCTTTTCTTCTTCTTTAATATCCTGTCTTTTTCCTTTTTTTCTTCTTTTTTCTTCTTCTTTAATATCCTCTCTTTTCATTTTTTTTTATTCTTTAATATCCTTTCCTTTTTCACCTCTTTTTCTTCTTTCTTTAATATCCTTTTCACTTCTTTTTTTTTAATATCCTTTTCCTTTTTCTTCTTTTTCTTTTTTCTTCTTCTTTAATATCCTTCTCTTTTTCACTTCTTTTTCTTCTTCTTTAATATCCTTTCCTTTTTCACTTCTTTTTCTTCTTCTTTAATATCCTTTCCTTTTTCACTTCTTTTTCTTCTTCTTTAATATCCTGTCCTTTTCCCTTCTTTTTCTTCATTTTCTTCTTCTTTAATATCCTTCTCTTTTTCACTTCTTTTTCTTATTCTTTAATATCCTTTTCTTTTTCACTCTTTTTCTTCTTCTTTAATATCCTGTCCTTTTCCCTTCTTTTTTCTTTTTTTTTCTTCTTTAATATCCTTCTCTTTTTCACTTCTTTTTCTTCTTCATTAATATTCTGTCCTTTTCCCTTCTTTTTCTTCTTTTTCTTCTTCTTTAATATCCTTCTCTTTTTCACTTCTTTTTCTTCTTCTTTAATATCCTTCTCATTTTCACTTCTTTTTCACTTCTTTTTCTTCTTCTTTAATATCATTTCCTTTTCCTTTGTTTTTCTTCTTTTTTTTCTTCAATATCCTTCGCTTTTTCACTTCTTTGTTCCTTCTTTAATATCCTTCTCTTTTTCACTTCTTTTTCTTCTTCAATATCCTTCGCTTTTTCACTTCTTTTTTTCCATCTTTAATATCCTTATTTTTCACTTCTTTTTTTTTCTTCTTTAATATCCTTTCCTTTTCCCTTCTTTTTCTTCTTTTTCTTCTCTTTTAATATCCTTCTCACTTCTTTTTCACTTCTTTTTCTTCTTCTTTAATATCCTTCTCTTTTTCACTTTTCACTTCTTTTTCTTCTTCTTTAATATTCTTTCCTTTTCCCTACTTTTCTTCTTTTTCTTCTTCTTTAATATCCTTCTATTTTTCACTTCTTTTTCTTCTTTTTTAATATCCTTCTTTTTTTAATATTCACTTTTTAATATTCACTTTTCTTTTTCTTTGCTCCTTTAATATCCTTCTCTTTTCCGCTTCTTCTTATTTTTCTTCTTCTTCAATAACCTTCCCATTTTTACTTCTTTTTCTTCTTCTTTAATATCCTTCTCTTTTTCACTTCTTTTTCTACTTTAATATCCTTCACATTTTCGTTTGTTTTCTTCATCTGATTTTTTTAAATATCCTTCTCATGTTTTTCTTCTTCAATATCCTTCTCTTTTTCGCTCCTTTTTCTTCTTCGTTCCTTTATTCTCTTGCTTTTTTTCTTTTCTCCCTTTTGCTTTCTTATACTTCTTTCTTAACTTCTTTGTTTCTTTCTTTTCTCCTCTTCTCTTTCTTTTTCCTCTTATTACTTCTACTTCTTTCTTTTTTTTCTAACTATTCTGCTATTTTTCACCGACTTTCTCCTTTTCTATTACTAGTTTTTACATACTTTCCTTTCCTCTCTCTTTCTCTCTTTTCCCTTTTTTCTACTGCTTGTTTCCGCCTACTTCTCCTTTTTTTCTTTTGCTATACTCTGTATTTTTTTCTCTTTTTCGAATAGTTAATTTTTACGTACATCTTCCTTCCCTCTTCTCTCGAAGTACAAATAATTAAAAATACGCGGAATAGAAGTAATTGAACGCGAATTTTTATTTTATTTGAAAACAAGTAAAGATGCTGCTCACATGCTCCACGTCCCTTCAGCTCATAGGAAGTTGTGGAGAGCCATGATAGCAGACGTCAGGTAAGTGACTAGTAGCGTTCTGCCATATTTTTTTGTTCTTAATGTGCCCTGTGAGCCTTACATTTTCTAAAACATCCTTCATCATTATGCGTCAAAGGAATTTCCATTGTTTTTTATCCTCATTCTCAGTATATTTTTCAGTTGCCATTGTTTAAAGCTTATTATCTTTCTCTTTTTCACTTCTTTTTCTTCTTCTTTAATATCCTTCTTTTTTTCACTTCTTTTTCTCCGTACATGGATTTTTTATTCCCCTTTTGTAGAACTACATTTCTGTTGCGTCTACTTTTATTTCCTCATCTGTGGAGAGATTGTCCAGCATTCACTGACATAAGCGGATTGGTTAAACATCTGACACTGTTCTTTGCTTCTAAAGAATCTTTCCCGTTTTTCAAGACCTTGCTTAAGTTTGTGAATGCTTCTTGCACTAGCACAATGCATTTTCGGATCTCTGTGTCACTTTTCCCATCCCCTGTTGAAACGCTTCCCAGATATTTAAACTTCTGCACCCGGTTGATGTTTATATCGCCAATTCGTAAACCGCGTTCGACGCTTTTGCTCCAGCTGAAAACCATATATTAGGTTGGTGCAAAAACAATGTCGTTTTTTGACGTTAAGTTGAACGTCAAAAAAACGACATTATTTTTGCACCAACCTAATATTTACCGAATCGATAAATGAAATATATGACAACGGAGAAATACTGGAAGCTCTCACAGCCCAGACAGAGTATCTATAATTTGCTGAAAAATTACCGGAGCGACTTTTACACCAAACGGTAGTCTATTAAACCGAAATAACCCTTTATGCTTACTAATGGTAAGAAATTCTTTACTTGCTTGCTTCTTCCATTTCAATTTGAATGTACGCATCCGAAAAATTTATGGAGATTATACCTCCCGTTTAATTTTGTAAATACTCCTTCGGCTGTTGGTAACGGATAATTATGGTCTTGTAAGGTGTTATTCACCTTCATTGAATAATCTCCACACACTCGTAATTTACCAGTCTTTTTTGATAATTACAATGGGCGCTTGAAGACTGGACTGGTGAAATAACTCACCTTTTTTGTAGTCTTTCCAGTTCCTTGTTCACTATCAGCATAGCGTGCGGGTGTTTTTGATTTAAAAGTCAGTCTCATATATTCTTTTACCCGTAAAGAAGAATTGGATCTCTGCACTGAAGTTATCAGTGCAGAGACCCAATTCCTCTGTAAACAAGGATTTGTATTCTTGCATAATGTTTTTCTTTAAACAGTCAATGTCCAGATTCGAGCATATGACGGAATAAACTAGAATTGATTGAGCAATTCTATAATGACACTAGTGTAGCCAATCTGCACCTAAGAAACGTAACTGTTTTCCTTTTGTCACGTACGCTTGTACATTAACTTTTTTTTGGAACAAGACTTCAATTCCCCTACTTTTTTTTAGTTTTGCCCCAGAGGCACTACACGCCTCGTGGTAACGTTTTTATTTTTTTTCTATTAGGTTGGTGCAAAAATAATGACGTAATAATGTCGTTTTTTGACGTTAAAAAATACGCCAAAAAACGACATTATTACGTCATTACTTTTGCACCAACCTAATATATCAGTGCTCCTATTTTTTTCCAAGTCTCTTCTGAAATCATTGCAATATCAGAGCCCGTATCTAATTGTAGGGTCACGGGTTTGTTGGTCATACAGACCCGAATAAATATTCTTTTCAAAGTATTTTTTTCTTTTTTTAAGTAGCGAGACTTACTTTAACTAAATCTATTCCTTTAGCACGGTTATTCATTTTTTTATTTTATTTTGCCACCTG